TGCAAGATACCGGGAAAGTAACCACGTGGACCGGAGACGCTCCACCGTGCCGAGGGGCTGCGAGGAACCCCGGGGTGGCCCGAGCCGTGGGCTCCTGCGCATTTCCACGGACGGCTTTGTCCCAGGATGGCTCTTGGTTCTTCCACAGTGAACAACAGCATGAAAGATGGTTTCTGAGAGTGCTCTTCCCTTATGCCTAAGTCATTACCAAAGAATAGGCTGGGAATTGAGGCTGCCTATTAATTATCTCAGTCATCTCCTTGCTTTTCTGCATTAAATTTTAATAACTGTTCAGAGGCCTATGAAACATCTAAGCTATAAAGGCAACCTCTTTATTTTAAAAAAACCTGCTGTTGTTTAAGATGAAAAATGGTTGGTGCATTATGGTTATGCTATTGGGTTCGCCAAAAAGTTTAGTTCTTTTTTCTGTATGATGGCTCTAGAAGTGCTTAGTTGTGTTTAACTTCATTCAAAACAATTTTGTTAGATTGTATTGTGACAGCTGTCTTAACAGCATGCATTAAAAAGAAAGACTTATCAAAACTGGTGAATTTTTGAGCAGCCATTTTAATATTGAAGATGGAAGAAGATATGCAATATTTTTGGCCTACTATGCTTTATTATTTCAAGAAAGGTAAAAATGCAACTGAAATGCAAAAAAAGATCTGGGCAGTGTAGGGAGAAGGTGCTGTGACTGACCAAACGCGTCAGAAGTGGTTTGCGAAGTTTCTTGGCACTACTGACATTTTGGCCAAACAATTCTTTGCTGTGGGGCTGTCTTACACATTTGGAAGATGTTTAGCGGCACCCCTAGCTTCTACCCGCTAGAAGCCAATAGCGGGAGACAGTCGACATCCTCAAAATATCCAAATCAATAAAGTTATTGGTGAAAATGAAAATGTATCTTTTATTTTATAGAAAAAACTAAACAGACTTTTAGGCCAACTCAATACTAAAACAGTTTGAGAGCTGGAAGGAATCAGAGGTTTCAGATGATCGAGCCAATCTTCTCATTGTAAGGATAGGTGACCTGAAGCACGGTCGCTTAAGCAACTCGCCGGGGGCACTGTGGGGCTCAAGCACCTGTATCATTGGGGAGATACAGTTCTGCTTCAAGTCAAGATTCATCCTTCTAAATAAATTCGTTAACATCCAACCAGCCTTTGCCCACATGCTAAGAAAAAAACAATAATTTGACTCTTAATCATCTAAGGACGGCTCAGCATGAGTTCTCTGATGAACAGGACCAAGCTGCAGAGTCCCAAATAGCCTCATTGGTCATTTTAATGAAATGAAAGGAGCTCTCTGTCCCATCTCATTACTCTCTTTGATTTTGTTTTGTGAGTTTTTTCTGTTCCCTTCCGCCTTCATTGGCCACACGTGCACACCATTTCAAAACAAGCTGAAAGGCAATGGGTGAGGGCCAAGCCGCCCGATGCCCAAACAGGTAAAAAGACCAAGACAGGCACCTGGGCCACCAGAGCAACACCATGGTTTGGGGGATGAAATTTACGAAGAAATAAAGTCACAGAAATAACACACGCTTGCGAAAACTCTCAGGTCAGGTCACACTTTCTGGAAAAATACATCCTGGAAAACTTGACACCTTGTTTCTTCGTTAAATAAAGCAGTGAAGGGCGGCAGTCACCGGTGAGGGGCACTGAGACATCAGGCCCTTGCATTTCAACCGGGTCTCTTGGCTTTGAGGGGCGTGCTGAGCGACAGAAACCACAAACTGTCCACAACGGTCCCCTCAGGTCAAGCATGCAGAAGCGTGGTTCTTTAAAAATTTAGGCAGGGAAAAACGTTTATGCCCATGATAAAGAAACATCAGAGGGGAAACCTAGCATCGGCAACCATGCTCCCGACTCTGCTCGGCACAGGTCCTGAGGAAGGGGCCCTGAGGGCCAGGCGCAGGCCTGGGCCTGTGGGTGGGTACCTGGGTACCGGTCTCTCTGACCTCCTGTGACCCCGTGACCTCCGGGTCTGGGCTGAGTCCGACACATTGTTAGTGCGGCTTGTACTTTAGGTAACCACACATTCCCAGGAGAGGAGACATCTCTGTGTTGCCCTTTCACGTCCCAGGATCCCCTGGGCTCAGTGACGTTTGTCCCCATGCACTCAAATCCCACTTCTCTGTCGCTCCCACAACGGCTCGAACACGAGGCAACAAGAATGCTCTCATCCTCTGTGCCTCCACAAAGACAGGCTAAAGGTATTCTGCTGACGGGTCCTCATTTTACTTTTAGAACATGGGTGCCCTTCATTTAGCAGAACGTTGTCATCAGTAATTAAAACTGAACTGCCTGCACCTGGTAAAAATCAAGCCATGTTTTCTCATTAGGCACCCGTGTCTTCCCAATCACTAATTCAGATTTGCAAAAAGCTCCTTACCCGTAATCATGAGATTGGTCCTATTTGACACCAGGAGTTTCTGGAAGCTCATCAGCCCCTTGTACTTATTTCCAAGGGAGGGAAATTCATTGACCACCAGGATTTTGACCATCATTCTTACACTTAAGACGTATTTATTAATAAATCATCCGGAGTGCCTCCATTATGTTGTCAGAGAGCATCCAGTGGCCAGGACAATCCCAGAAGCCCAATGTTTAACAGTGTAACTCTTCCTTTACAGCCAGCATCACCTAATGAAATCTTTGTCTATCCATTCTTAAAAAAAATAAAAAAAATAAAAAGCCAACTTTCCAATCTCATTACACGTGGTCTAAGGACAGAACTCAGGACAAAGAGACAGATCGCCCTTCTGCTTCTACCTACGCACAGCAAGTCATTGCAGGCACCTGATGATTATGTCCCCTTCCTCAGGGTCACAGCACCCCCCTTCCAGCAGATGTCACAAAGAAACTACCTGACACAGGTCGTTTCTTAGACATTTGCTCTTAGGCTTTCCCTACCACCCTCTGGGTGTTGGCTTGTAGAGGGTGATTTTTCAAAGTTAAAACAAAAGTCAAAATTTTTTGCAGAAGAAAACAATTCTTTAAAGATGAGCAACTGTGTGTGGCATTTCAGGAGAGGGCTGAAGGGCACTTTGGGTGGAAAGAGGCCCATTTAACCACAGCAGTGACGGGCAGGGGCTTCGGTGTCATCAAAGGTGACACTGGCTAAGTTAAATGCAGGTGAGACATCAGGCCCTTGCAAGGTTGCTCACTGCCACCCAGGTTCACTGCCTTCTGGGTTGTTCACTGCCACCCAGAACTCTCTCCTGCCTGGTTCTGAAGGACCTGTGGCCTGGGCTGAAGCGCCCTCTCTTGTACCCACTATGCAGGTTTCTCAGATGACCCTGGGATCCCCGTGGCTCCTGACAGTCATGCCCTGGGGACATCTCCTGGCCTAGTGACTTACTTCATAATAGCACACAGCGAAGTGATGGGAAGCGCTCCTAGGACTAGGTTCCAGGAGGCTGGCGCCACTGTCTTCCTCACGCTCTCTCCGTGGCTCTTCCTGTCTGCTCACCCTCGGGGAGCCAGCTGCCACGGGGAGGCCCCGTGGCCAGGGACTGAGGGCGGCTTCCAGCCCACAGCCAGTGAGGAGCTGAGGGTCCTGAGTCCCACAGCCTGCAAGGGAGTGGTCCTGACAGCAGCCACATGGGTGGGTCTGGAAGCAGATCCGCCCCCGCCCCATGGGATCCTACAGAGGAGAACCCAGCCTTAACTGGAAACTTAATTCCAGTCCGTGAGAGGCCTTGACATGAAGGCCCCGCTAAGACACACCTGGACCCCTGACCACGGAAGCATGAGATCATAAACATGGCCGTTTAAAGCCACTACATCTTGGGGTGATTTATCACCCAGCAAGAGGTAACTAATATGTGCATTCATGTTCCAAATGCACCAAAGAATTTCATAATAAGGTTCCTGAAGTCTTCCTCGTGTAATGAATGCTTTTTTTTTTTCTTTTTTGAGAGAGGGGAAGGGAGGGAGAGAAACAGCGATGCGAGACAGAAACATTGATCCGCTGCCTCTCTTACACAGCCCAACCAGCGACAGAACCCTCAACCCAGACATGTGCCCTGATCCTGAATCAAACTCGCAACTTTTTGCATTGCGCGACGATGCCCAACCTGCCGAGCCACACCAGCCAGGGCAAAATTCTTCAAGCTCGCCCTCTCCTCACTAAATCATTTGGTGGTTCCACATCTCACTCTGAGACATCCTTCCCCCAGTCTCAGCCCAGATTCCTCCCCTTTCTCTGCGCCTCCCGAAGGACCAGTGTCACCTCTCCCTGCACGTCCGCAGGGCGGCACGCCTCCAACTTCACCCCCATCAGTGCCCTCCCTGTCAGCTTTTTGGTCTGCCTTCCCTGCTGGACAGGGAGTCCCTGCGAGCTGGACCTGTGCTGGGCTTTTCAGAGTCCAGCACGGTGCCTGCCCCCAGCGGACGCTCCATCAACCTTTGCCGAATGGGTGAACCAAGACCTGAACGGCATCCACAGGCGTCCTCAAGGAGATGACCACTTCCACCTCCCCCACCCCGCAGCGAGTGGGCGGTAAGACTACATTTCACCACAGTCCGGAATGGGCTGTTGAGCATCCTTGAAGACGGAAGACAGGGAGATTGTTTCCGTCAGCTCTGCAGCATTCTCTCTCCATACGTAATATTTCATCCTCTGGTTGCTAATCCAGGTCCATCCGTTGCTCATACAATCCTGCCTGAACACAGCAACTGTACTTACGCTCCTCAAATTCTGCTGCAGTTTTAGTTTTATAGACTATAAAGCATATAGAAAACAGACTCTCAACTTTCGACCCTTCTGTTATTAAACGTGCCTCATATAAAGAACAATGCAAATGGGGATTGTACTTGAGAATTACACGCAAGTCCAGGCTAACTTTTTTAAAAATAGCAAACATGGAAATGATCAATTATGATCATGACTGGGTTGTTTTTTAATTCTGTCTAGTTCCTGCTAACTTTTGAAGACTCACAAAATGAATAAAGAAATCTTGTAAGACAGAGACAATTTTGAAAGCATAACTGTACCTTATAACCTCCAATGCGATGCTCCTGTTTAAATTCCTTTCCGTTTTTCAGCCACCTCATAGTTGGTGTTGGATTTCCCCCAGCTGGACAGCGAAACTTGACCGTGTTGGCCGCAGGCACGGCGTGAAGTCGCTTTTCCATCTTATCCGTGTTGGTCCAATACGGTGCTCCTGTTTTGGAAAACAACATTACAGTGTTGTTGGACAGAGAACTTCAGTCTCCATTATTAAACTCCTAGGTACGATCATTTTATTTTGTACAAGAATGATCCGACGTTTTGAAAACCTTGGGGTAAGATTTGCATTAGGAAAAAACTTTCTGACATCGGATCCAGCTGGAGGTCCCTGGAAATGGACTGCTTGTTAGTTTATGTCTATTAATAGGGGGGGAAAGTGTCTGAGGCACCTTCTCTCCCTTGTTCTTAGTGCCAGAATTTAAATGTTGGTTGAATCATGTTCTAAAAGGCTACTTTATACACACTGTGACAGCACATACAACAGCTGAGTCCTCCCAAAGTGTAGCATTTTAGATGGCCACACCTAGGAAATGATCATATATACACACGAGGAAAAGCAAGCTGTGCTCAAAAGCCACGTCAACGTATCCTTGGAGCCCCACTTTAGAGGTTCGTCATAGTACAGCATCGCCTCGGTCAGATAAAATTCTCGAAGCCACCTTCGCTTGTGTGGCATTTTATATGACAGCCACTAGCCATATCACTGAATATACTTTAACGCTTTTAATGGAAAAAAATGTATTTTTCCGCTCCGCTGGTGGTTGTGAATGCCATCATTCTGCCACCCTGTCGGCGCAGGTAACTTCACAGGTAACTACGGATAAAATGTAAAATTGTACCCTCTACATGGCCCTTCAAGTCATAGGTATGAGTGATTTTTTTAAACTCAAGGAAGGAGGTAAGTTTTTAAATTTGCCAAACAAAGGACAGTTTATCCACACAAGAGCCACCGCATCCGCCTGGGATGCCGCCGTAAAGCATTCACGCCCACCAACATCGGCTGATGACCACTACTGACAGGGTGTTGTGTGCTTGACCACCAGCCCTAAAAGCTCTTACCTGTTTAATACATCGGTCCTGACAACAATCTGACAAGAAAGGCATTACTGAGATCCCTGTTTGCTGATAGGGAAACAGAGGCATAGAAATGTTAAGTAATCTGTCCGACACAACGAAGGTAGGAAGAGAGTCAGCCAGGACATGAGCCCAGGCAGTTGGATTCCAGAGCCCGCTGTCTCAGCCCCTGCCCTGGTCCACTGCTGGTTAAGAACCAGCTTCTCCATGGGCTTGGGACCCACACCTGCAACCGCTCAGACATGCGAGACTTGAGCCAGGACAGCCAGCCTGGGCCAGAAGCATGCAGCCTCCGATATTCCTGCCCAGAACTTCTACTGAAGTCTCCCATAGCATTTAACTTTTCACATGTATGTTTCTGTCTGAGGAAGCAGGTAACCAAAATCCCAGTATCCCCCTAAAAGCATTCTTTAATGAGGCCTTGAACATTCTAGAACATTCCAGAGCACTGACATTCTAAAAGGCGGATTCAGAACTGCTTATTCTGATGATGATTAGACTGAGCAACAGCACACACACTCCACAAAGCAGAGGCAAAAAAAGGGGCCTGGGCAGGGTCTTTGTCTCTGATGTGGATTTAGAGGGTCCCTGCTCCGTTCTGTGGGTGGCCCAGCTCGCACCTAGGGGTTTACAGTCTCCTTCACTTAACAGCCAGGCTTTCGTGGTAGAATTAGGAACTGGCATAACTGCATCCACAATTCCTACCCGCATCTGCCTCACCCCCACTCTTGAACCTGCTATAAAAGGTGGAGCTGGGGTCTCTTAACAAGGGCACGCAGTCTGCTCTTTCCCCACACTACAGGCGGCATCCACACAATCCAAGGCAGGGCACGTGAGGCGGAACTGGTCACTCACAAATACCAGGGAGAGAAAGTCCGGGGGGAGGGAGGGGGCGAGGGGAGCCACGGGAGAAGGCATGGGCCACATTCTGTCCTCTGGACCCAGGCACATCTGTGACTTGGTGGTCCTTTGGCTTTGGAAGTCAAACGCCCAGAAACACACCTATTCTTCTGCAGGGTCCACCGGGGAGTCCTCGATTCCTCTCCATCACGAGACACTCAGCACCTGGCACGGACTGAAGCAATTTCAATCACCTTTTAGGTTAAAAGGTTCTACTGCGGAAAATCCAGCCACAGCCACAGCCATGAAAAAGAAACCAGAAAGCACACAAAATAAATAATAAGCTTTGCCGCTACCCAAAATCTGACCTAGACGAAAAGGCATACCTCAGGTGTCTGCTCACAAGTCGTTTGTTTACGTAAACACAAAAGCCTACTCATATGAATCAGCTAAATATTAATGCAGCAGAGCTTACATATCGCACCGGCTAGAGCGGCTCTTGTGGAATGTCCCTTCTTTCTTACATAAAGAAAAAACAAACAGATAGGTGCGTGCAGAGCAGTAGGCATGATTCTGATGTTCCCTAAAATGTCAAACAGCAGGATCTAGCTGAAGGCTCTGGGGACGCTACTCTGTTGCCCTCTCGCTAGGCTGAGCCGACAGTGAGGCTGCCGCCCACATGGGATCACCCAGATGCCATGGGCCTGTACAGATCTGGCAACCAGTGCCTTTGTTTTGGCACCTAAGGAAGGACTTCGGGACGAGGGTGAAAGAATTTTGCTGGAACCTCTGGCAGGTGGCCACCTCCCTGGGGTGAAATTTCAATCATCACCACTGCACCTATAAGATCTGCGGGTGCAAAGCAGACAACGAGGCCGTGCAGCAGGGTCTGGGCACCAGGCTGCCGGGCTGCGGTCTCAGAGAGGCTGGGCGGGCGGGGCCCTCGTCTCATCAGAAAGCAGAAGCAGATCACCTACAGGGCTATCACTCAAAACTGAATTCGCCACGTTCTCTTTCCCCGAATAACACCAAGTCGTGACTAAACCAAAGGGGCTGGCAAGCCACGCTGTCGAGGTTCCCTGTGTGACAGTGAGGCTAACATCACACAGGCATGACGTGCTTTGGTGACGAGGCCTTCCTCTAACACCTCAAGCTCAAGGATTTCTTTTTAATGGGCACAATGCAGAAGAGGAGGAACTATTTTATTATTTTACGACAGCTCTTCTTGAGAAAAACTAGTTTTATGGGAAACCTGAAGAACCTGGAAGGTCTAGAAAAATAATTACACTATAGGAATTGTGCTTTTGTGTTTCCTTTCTCAGTGGCCTTATGTCCTCTGCAAACTCTTCCTGTCTTCAGTATTTCCTGCCATTTTAGCAGCCCAGACACATGGAAATGCCAGGCTCCTGACCAACTCCTCTACCTGGCCTCTTTCATCCTGAGGCTGGTGAACAGCACCAAAAACTGTTATCTGGAGAAGAAACTCACTTAAATCAATGACCTACCAAGGCAGAGACAACCTCAGCACATAGTAGGTGCTCAGTACAGATATCTACTCAACAACTTTATTTCAAAGGAATCTGCGAGCCAAGGCCACCTCATATTGCTTGAAAGAAAGGTATGGCACCCACTTTGTACACCCTCCCAGGCATAACCTCAGGGGTATATGAGCGGTGGGTTAAAGCCAGTTCACAGAGGACAATTGTGAGGTCACCTTCCAATGGCAGACAAAACAAATTGTACCCAGATAATAGGTATGACCCCCTCTGCTCTTATTTTCTTGGCTCTTCTGATGGAGTATGTATATGTAGCAAAAGAACATTGCTCTTAGTCACCAAATCCAAATAATGAAGTTAAAGGAACAGAACCTCCCAAAATAAATCCATTGATCCCATCATCGAGGTACAGTATACCCAGCCACTATCATCTTCTGTACTGAAACAGCTATGGTATATTAGTAATAATGAAGGACCTTACTTTAACACAGTGGACATCTTTGAAGATGTGGCTGGTTAAACAGGAGATTCATACCCCAACAGGAACTTCGCTCAATGTTCCCTCAAAACAATTTCTTCACCAGCTCCACCCCAGAGGGTCGAGTGGTCGTCCCTTTGCGGGCTGCCTCTGTAACTTAGGTAAGTTCCCATCCCCAGGCTGTGTCCATACTGGAAAGTATTCCTTCCGACATCTGCTGACCAACAAGAGTAGAGTGCCTGGAGGGTACAACCAGAGCTGACTTTAGCCTATGGCGTATCAGGTGGATGGGTGGATGGATGGGTGTATGGATGGACGGACGGACGGACCAGACAGCCAACTGTTAAAAGGGTGGGCTATAAAATGAAGGAGTTGAACTGAATGTTTTGATAAGGTTCCTCCCAGTTCTAACACTCTTTCCAGGGATCTATGTTCTGGGCAGATATTGATTCTGTCAACAAATGGCAGGATTAGAGGATTTCTTTTGACCCTGCAATTTAAACTTAATGAGAAAACACAGGCTGCTGATGAGCCTGCCCCTGCAAAAGCCCCTACGTATCCCTGACATCCAACGTTTATGGTCTCCTGTCTGTCTCTGAAATCAAAAGAGAGAACGCAGCCCAGCAGTTTAAAGGGAAACATGGAATCATATTACCACTGTACCAAAAGCAACCTCCGTGACCATCTGGCCCAACGGCTGATGTGATCGACGTCACCCAAAAGGTTAAGTGATTTGATCAAGGTCATCCTGCCAGAGGCCGGGCTGAGGCTAGACCAAGTCTCCAGCTCCCTGAGCGGTGCTCTTTCAACTACTCCAGGCTGCCCTTTGAACTCTCCCATGGTAATTAAGTCAAAAGTTCAAGATTTACGTGAGCTGTGGGCGCTGATGACTGCCAACTATATTTTTATTGATGCAAAAATAAAAAAAAGTAAAAAAACACAGCCTGTTTCAACTCCTAGATTAAGTCTCACAAACTCCCTAAAGCCCCACTAAGACCTCTCTCTTAAGTCTATAATTAGGACCTTTAAAAATATCACTAATCAGGACATTTGAATGCTTTGACCCCTGGGTGAAGGGCTGTCTCTGAGAGTCCCCACCCGGACCTCCCGCCCCCCATCCTTGCAGTAGACTGCAGTTCACTTGTTTTCGGTTTTTCATGAACTAAGAGAAAAACAAATCTAACAATATATGGAGATGTGAGTGAGGGTGTAACTATAAGGCGGAGTTGCTTTGTTTGAGAAACCTCAGGAAAAAACTTAACTTGCTGACCAGTGAAGTCTTCGATAGGAAAGACATTAAAACAAGACAGGCGAGTTGACCCACATGTGAAATGCCAGAGTCTACTGGGAGACCAGTTGTCCTGTGGGAGTTCCCAGGACCTGCCTTCCAAAGAAAACCCTCTGGTTGTTGGGGATGCTGACTGACGGAAGAGAGCCCCCAAAAGAAGAGCTACTCCCTCAAGCCTGCTGGATGAAAGCCCCCAGCTGGCCTCCCTGCTCCAACACCCAAACCAATTTGTGATGAGCTTCCCAATACACAAAGGAATTTCAAAAAAAATTTAAGAAGCCTGTGCCCTTTGGTTTTGTTCATTTGTTTTTAACTCTTAGAAACGTAAACATAACTAAGAAACCAACATGTACCAACTTAGAAATAACTTCTACCAAGTGAAAATCCCAATTAGAGCAAAGGTGATTATAAACTATTATCAGCAGATTAATCAATAAAAGGAGTTGGAAATCCCAGGCCAAGAACCTTCATCTTCCCTAGTTACTTCTTCCAAACAAATTTGCCTTTCTCCCTGACACAGGTATGGGCATCTGCTACAGGTCTCAACAGGCAGGAAACCAAGATAGGAACGCTCCAGCTGCAGGAATCTCATTGTAGCTGTGGCGCTACCAACTCCCTCTAGTTAAGAAGCCAACCTGAACTTTCTATCAATCACAATCTTCCCAAGGGCTAAGTCTCAAGCTCTTCAGAAACATGAGTCACTTACACACAAGTTAGCGGTAATAAAAATCACTCCCCCCAAAATGGACATCGATGTCTACTTATTTGTGGCCAGATAACCCGTTAAGACACCTCCCACAAGGACTTGTTCAATTATGCTTTCCTTTGCTAACATACAAAATCGGAACCTTGTAAACCCGCAAAACCAGGATGCATTTTGAAAACAAGCATCTGACACAGCAACTCTCTGTCCGGAGAAAGGCTGGGTCACTCTAAGCGGTAGGTGTAGCGGTGTCGTTTCCCGGCAGCCAGGTCTCTAATGACATCACAGGATTGTTCTGCTCGGGGGAATGTCTAGCACCGGTAAGATATGAGGTCATCAGCTAGTCAGCTGCTAAAATATGACCCGAGAACACCCTTCACACCTGGGATGGAAGAACTTAACAGAGTGGGGAAAGTTAAATCAATCAAGTGGGGGTTTCTCAAAGTCTGTGCAGCAGGATGTGATAGATGCTCTATGTTAAAACGGGTCTTGGGGGCCATCAGTTTTGGAAAACCTTGAGAAAGGACAAACGTAAACATGCTTTTATCACAGGACACTTCAGAGTTCAGATCATGCTGATGGGCACTGGGCATCTCCAAGAAGGAGTCCTGATAAGAGGTGGTTTCCAAAATCGTTTCAAACTACAAGTCATTTTTGGCAGAGAATTGTTGTGGACCAGCTCATGGTCTTAATGCCGACACCTGTTTTTAATGAGATCCCTCATTAATGAGATGTATGTGAAGACTGCAATTCTGCAAAGTATGTATTCACCATCCGGGCTGGTCCTCACCCACTAGAAGCAGCCCACTGCGAAGGCGGGTCTGAAACACCATGTGACAACACACGTGAAGAGGCAGAACATGATACTCAATACCGAGCAACTGGATCTGCTTGTGGAAACGAAGAAACTCGCCACAGAGGAGTCCCCTTTGGACTTGGGTTTTATGCAATCGACCTGAATATTGCCAAACATTCCTACTGGAATCAGTTCAGGCCTTGGTATTAACAGATACCAGTATCATGGCCAAAATTCAACGATCCTGCCTTAATTTTGGCCATTGTGCCACGCTTTCTGTACTCTGTAGAGAATCTATGAAGAATTCTACCTGGCAGCTAAGCTTGCCTTTTGACAGTTAACCACCAAAATCAAACAATAATCGAGCATACCAGCAGAAGGAATAACCTGCAAGATATTTTCAAGCCACAAGATATAGACCTGACATCTACCCACCCAGAAAGAGAAAAACAACTTGAGAAAAGTCCAGCCATGGCACCGTCACCGGAGCATCATCTGTTAACATCACTGAGGAGGAACGTTCCGACACACCCCAGTGGCATTTCCAGACAATCAGAAGGCGCCAAAGGAATCAAACTGGACAACGGGTGTTTTCCAGGTGGATGAAAATGCAAGGAATTTGGTGCTTCTACAATTTTCCCTATTAATCAGGTCAGGCATTTGACATGTGAGGTGGCAAAAATTGTTTTAATGGCAACATCCCCTTCCCCGCCTTGCCAATTACCCTGGCCATGGCATTCCTCTGTCCCCACAGGCCACAGCTGCTTAATCTCCGCCGCCCCAGGCTGCACCTGTGAATCAGACCGGCCTAATCACACGAACAGATGGCAGAGGCCGAGTAGCCAGCTAAGAACTGCTATCGCTTTAAATCACGTCTAATGTTTCACAGGCACCATACAGAGGCAGCTCCCGACAGCAGTATCTCCCCGGTACAGCTAACACCGGCCCTTAATCACCGCTGAGCACCCATTTCGGGGCAGGGCCGGTGTCATTCGAGAGCTAATTACAAAGAACCCTGGTGGCAAGGTGAAGGCATGGCGAGTCATTCAACGAGGGCTGGCATTCATTAAGGGGCGCGCTCCACGACCGAGCCCGTCAGCCTGGTCACCGAGCGGTCGGGGCCAGCGTTCAGGATGCAAAGCCAGAGGTCTACGGCAGGTAATCCTTCGGAGTCCTGAGACAGAGCCTCAGTTCCCTCAGCCTACTTGTTATGTAACCATTACCTTGCTGTTACATGTTATTCTTTCCCCAGTGTCGTTCTGGGTTGCTGATCAGTACCAGCAGCATGGTACGGACCACCAGGACAGCGCAGTTCCCAGGCATGCCAACACCACCGAGCTGACGGCATCGGATGTCCCCCAGTCAAGAGCAACGACGCCCACATGTGGGCGCTGCTTCAGAGCCGGGAACAGCCATGCCAGCCTCCGCACTCCACCCCCATCGTCACCCTGGGCACTGAACGAGGGGCGCTGTGATGGATGGAACACGCGACAGGCCCCCCCGGGAACCGCAGCTTTGCCTTTTGCTCACTGGTTCATGCATTTCCACTCAATAGGATGGGAATAACTCTTCCCTCCACCCTACAGGGGTGCTGGGGGCGCTGACTGAGCCGGCAGCCCATACAGAGCCTGCCCAAAGCAGGACCTCGCCGTCCTCACTGCCACGGCCATGCACAGCCTCCCCTGCTGGAGCCCAACACCTAATAAGACGCGAGTGATGTCTTCTGATGCACCAGGGCTTCGTTCTTAAAATATAACCACCTCATTAGGAGGCTGGTACAAACCACAGCGGACACTTTCACTCACCTTATTACCCACTGTTTTACGAGCAGCATCTCTCACAGTGCACTCCTGTTTGAGGCCGAGCCGTACGTGGGAACGCCGAAGCCAGGGGTCCTCCCACTTCAGGGCGCATCAGACTCACGCCCCCAGTTTCTAATTCAGTGGGCCTGGGGTGGGGCCTGAGAAGTTTCATTCCTCCTAAGTTCTCAGGGAATACGTGCCAGTGAGGCCGGCCCCAAGCTTTCTCTTGCCAGGAGGGAAAGACCATATAAACCAAAATACTTCCCTGTTTGCCCAAGCTGCTGGGTTCTAGGAGACTCAAGGACAAATCCAATCCCCACTTAAGAAACGCGTTACCGCAGGTGCCTGACAAGATCAATTTTCTCTTCTTCCTCTAAAATACCCTGGGCCTATGTTAATAACTAGTTGTCTTTCTTATCTAGGCCTTGTTTAAATTTATTTAACTGACTAAAATCCTTTTGAGAACGTGTAGACTATAAATCTAAACAACAAGCACCAGTGACTAACATAACATCACTTTGGGAGCATTCCAGCCATGTTACTGAAAAATACAACTAACACTATATATTATCTTCTTTATTGAACTGACACTCACAAATGCTTCCCTGATCATTGTACAGATATGAACGCATCTAATCCTTGTAACAGCCCATCAGATGTTGTTGTTATTCCCATTTTACAGTTGAACAAACTGAGGCACAGACGTTAAATGGCTTGCCAACTTGGAAGTGGCAGCGCAGGATTTGAACCCAGGCTGCCAGCTCCGAGCAGCCCCGTTTTTACTCACCCAGTAAAGGCCTCCTATGTGTCAATGCTTGGTATTAACTGCCTTTTAATAAGCAAACAGCACTCACTGACCCCCTTTTCTATCTGCCAGGTAAGGAAGGCACTTTCCTTATTTCTGCTCGGCATGCAACGGTATTTTAAAAGCCATGGCTTCTCAACCTCAACACCACCCAGTGCATCCTTGGTCACAGGGCCATCCTCTACATTGCCGGATGTTTTGGCAACACCTCTGGCCTCTACCTACAAGATGCCACTAGCATCCTGTTATGACAATCAAACATGGCCCAATGTCCCCCAGGAAGAATGGCCCAATGTCCCCCAGAGGACAGAGGAGAAGAAGAAGCATCCCCCCCCAAACTGAGAACCACTGGGGTAAGTCCAGCACCACCGATGGTTACAAAGGAAACCAGTATGTGATGGGGTTCCGCTCTGTCCCCAAATAGTGAAAAACCAAAGGGAAAGAGAAAACCAAGGAAAGAAAAGTCACAACTGTGTCCAAAAGAGAGTGGCTTACTGACACGGTAAGAAAGGACAAACAAACAGTAGAGGAGGGTGTACAATCACGCTGGTTTATTCTCAGAATTGAAAGTCAGGGAAGGAGACACAGTGGAGAAAGGGGAGGGTCAAGGGCAGGGCCTGGCGAAGAGGCGACAAGAAGACAGGGTAGAGTCAGGGCTTCCCACCAAGCTCTCCTCTCTCGGGGACCTTCGGGGACGGCTGTTACTTACTCTTGTTGTTACTGTTCTCACTGACAAAATCCTCGAAGCCATCTGTGTCGTCCTCGTCGTCTCCGGAGGAGATGGCATCTGTATGCAAAAGAACATACCCGTGGTTGCGTTTTTGCCAAGCACCAGGCGGCCACCACCTACCACTCAGTCCTCTGGGGTGGCAACGGCCCCGAGACCCACACACGAAGTCCGAGACCGCATTTGGTTAAGATGGTCTCCACGGCTTCACTGCTCTCTCCATGGTGACAGTGGGTCTATATTATGATTCTCAATGCTCTTTGCTTTCACACTATGTAAAACACTCTATAAAACTGGATATACGGAAACTGGGCTTTAAGCTGCAAGTGGTATTCAAGTCCCCGGCAACTCTGCAGAGTGCGCACTATCCAAAGAGTCTTCCCAGCAAAGCCCTTCAGCGCTCAGGGTCCCCTCCAAGGAAGGAATTAGTCCCTAGAAAAACTCAGCCTTGTGTGGTCTTCTGACCGTTTACTAAGATTGTGAAAACAAAACTTTAAACTCAGCCACCACAAAGGGGGGCTGTGCAGTCCCCCTGCTGCGTGAAAGATAAACCCAGGAGAGAAACTCAAGTTTTAATAAAAGGAATCCGAAATCTTCGGCATCTGAATTTCAATCCTATATTCTACATGCCATGGATGCCGGTGGTAGGCAGGGAGGGGGGGATGTGTTTTTCTTACAGAAATGTGTCCTGTCTTAAAAGAAAAACGTTACTTGGCACATGAGAATCCTGTCATTCTTAATGACCAGCCTCTCTGATAACAGCAGGTTCCAAGGAAGAACCTCAAAGAGTAACAAACTATGAAGCTCTGTGCCTGGCACCCAATGAGCAGATCCCACTAGGATTTCACCTGCCCGATAAAATTTTACCCAGAAAACACCTACAGAGAAGAGAGAGCAGAGTGCTCGCAGGCCAACTCACCTGTGACATTCACCATGAAGTAGACAGTCTCACTGTCTACAGTCCTAGCAGCAGTACAAGCATAGAGGCCGGAGTCTCTAGGCGAGGCACCTTTTATCTGCAAGTACTCCCCAATAAGCACTGTCCTATTGTTGGGCCCCAAGTGTACCCCATCCTTAGTCCAACTGATCATGGCAGCGTCTCTCAACTGGCAGCGCAACTCTAGCGACTCCCCGGGCGCAGCCACGAAAACTTCTGGTTGGGAGATTTGGTATTTGGTTGGTGGCTCTGCAGAAAGGTGGGAGAGAGAAGATGGAGACAGGTGGGAAGGAGGAGAAGGAGAGAACGTCCAACACAGGTCAGTAGAGGCCCCAGTATTCCCAGGAGAGCAGTTCTCGTTTTGCAAATGGCCCCAGCAGGCTGGCCTCTCCCCGCAACCACCGCAACCCCAGGAAGCCAGGAGTGGCCCTCGGGCGCAGAGCTGAGTGTCTGAGACAGGAACCAGAGGAAGCCCCCAACACAAGCTGCCCCACTTGGTTACCACGCACCCACCGTAGGGCTTCACCACAACCCCAAAGCCCAGCGTGGGAGGACACTGTTCAAGAAAACGTGTAAGTCAACTGCCAATCCAAAGCCTGCCTGCAATGACCTGCAACATGATCCTGGAGAAATTCCCTTAGTGTGGCTTTTTTTACATGTAAGAACGTGCGTTTTACAAACTTTTCATTCTACATGACTGTATGACTGTGTCCACGCACGCATGCACGCACGCACCTACTTATTGTGCTAAACTGCTGGTTGTCACAAAGCCAAGCTTCTTAAAATGCTGCGAACTCAAAACTAGTGGGTCCTTCTACAACACTGCCACCTGAGTTTTCGCGAGCTCTCAGGCTCAGGCCAGAACTTTGCTGGACTGAAGACTGAATTCTGTGCTCAGTGAGCAGGGACAAGCTATTTTTCTTAACATGCTAAATGCCTAGAGCCTTTAACACCAAAAACAAAAAGTAAAATGCCCTGGACAGCCAAGAGTTGGTCTCCATGGTACTTAAATGGACCCTGAAACAAATCCACTGAACGGCGCATGCCCAACACTCCCCGACAGGGGCTGGATCCCTCCCCGCGCACCTCCGGCACACACCCTGGGTTCCAGCCTCCTTAGGCCTCTGCCTCTGTCCCTTTGGGGCTACTCCTTCCTTCCTTGCCTCATGCTAAACCCAATTCATCCTTCAAAGCCCAAATCCCACAGTCCGTCCTGGGTGAGGCTTGCCGTCGGTCACCCTGACCCGGAGGAAAGTGGGTCACCACCTCTCCATCTCTGAGGAGACACCAAGAACCAGGAGGGAGGACTCATGTCTAGTGGTGGTCTGTGCACCCCACACCCCCTCCCCCGGGGCCATCCCTGGTGTTTACACGGAAGGTGGCCCATGTTGAACACAACCAGTCCCCAGATATGCAGGGCACGGCGGCACCGTGTGCCCTGTGTGTGCAGAACAGAGAAGCCTTTAAGGGCAACAGCCAGAGCCTCTGGCTGGGACCCACGAGAGTCCATGAACAACTGGCTCCCATTCCTCCAGGTGAGACCTGTGAATGGTACCTGAAGTCCGAGGCCCAGAAAACACAAAAGCTTCCCAGCTCTGGGACGGCTCCAAATCTGGGCAACATCACAATTGCCCAGTCCTTTGAGTGTGGTCTTCACCAATCTCCCAAATGAGATCAAAACAAAGCCGCTTCATGTTTCAGCCCCACTGTTAAAGGGACAGCAAGGGCCGCATGCACTGGTGCTGGAAATGCTCCTGACCACACCACCCACGGCCAACGCGGGACGGCTGGGGCTCCCCAGGGGGCACCGCCAAAGTCGTGTGACCCAAGAGGGCCAGGTGTGGAACAGAACATGAACATAAGGCAATAACCCCAACGAAAGGAAGAAAAGAGCAGTCAAATTGAACATGGACACACATGCCCCAAAACGAGGGCAGAAAGCCCAGCTGACAGGCAGGTTAAGTTGCAAGTTTGTTTTTTCTCACAAACAAGTATTTACTGAACACCTACTAAGAGCCACACTTTATTCTGGATGCTGAGGGAGCAACAAGGGACAAAAATAGTCCCTTGCACTTAACAGTCCCTGTAATTCAAGTTGAGGGACTTTAATTCCAGGAGCGAGGGGGTGGAGGGGAGACAGTTAAGTATAAAATCCACAAAAAAAAATTAAAAAAAGAAGGTATGTGAGATGGTCGTGTAGTACCAGGAAGAGCACAGCCAGGCAGCAGCCCCCAGAGACGGCGCGGGAGGGCCCTTTCTAGAGCAGGAGCTGGCAAACGGCACCCACCCCGTGGGCACGGAGCCAGGCTCATTTGTTTGCTTAATGAAAATTGTTTGTTGTCATTGTGTGCGGCTGTTGTTGCATTACAATGGCCGAGTTGAGTAGTTGCTTACAAAGGCCTAAAGTATTTCGGGTCTTGCCCTTTACAGAAAGTTTGCCAACTTCCCCATTGGATGGTCAGGGAAGGCTTCTCTAAGGAGAAGCGAGGGGCAACGTGCCCTTCGGAAGATGTTGGGAACTCAGCTGGAAGGTTCTCGGGCCACAGCCCCCGACGCTGTTTATGCCCTGATACAATGGAACTGAGTGACTAACAGGCATATTTTGAACTCTGAATACTGAGCAGAAAAGGGAAAGGAAAAGAAAAGTGGGACAAAGGGCAAGAGATAGAAGAGGGGAAGAAAAAAAGAATTCAGTTTGACCCCAAATCTCAGACCATCTCCCAGCATCCTTGAGACACAGTGTCACACAGTATCGGAAGTGACGGGGCGCCAAAGGCCACCTGGTCCTGCCCTTTCAACAGCCGGTTCGAGCAAAGATCAGATGTCACTTGGGTCCCCGGTTTCCAACAACTCATCATGAAAATGGCACCCACAATGTTAGAATGAATTTTCAATAATTAGCCTGGGTCATAAAATGATATTTATTAAAACCACACAGTGTGATTATTAAGTCAGTGAGAATGTTATGGAATTTGCTTCCCTCTGAGTCAGAATTGGTCATCGAGCAATTGCTGAGCAGGGAAGCAGGTGGACGTCCACGGCAACACTCCCCTCCCTTAACAGGCGAGACTGGGAGCCGTGCCACCAACCCGCCTCTGTCCCCACCTTCAGAGAAAGGGAAGCCATCCATGTCCTTATGTCGTGGACACAGTGGAATGCTCTAAGACTGTTAAAAAATAAAAGAGAAGCAAGACACTTGCAATCACAGTGCAGAGAAATCTCTCCCAACAAAGGTGGAGTTGTGATTCCTCTGATTTTAAAGAAAAGCATTTCACTGAGAATCCTTTCCTTCACCTGAAACAAGGAGACCACCCGGTCTTGCTGAAACCAGTGTGTCTGAGATGCAGGACCAGCGTCGCCAAGAGGACTCCAGCCCCTCCAGGTTGGAGGAGGGGGGCAGGGCTCGTGGCTTTTTTTTTTTAATTTAAAGATTTTATTTATTTATGTTTAGAGAGAGAGGAAGGGAGGAAGAAAGAGTGGGAGAGAGAGATCAATCAGCTGCCTCTCACACACACGCAACTGGACACCTGGTCCGCAACCCAGGCATGTGCCCTGACCAGGAATCGAACCAGCGACCTTTTGGTTTGCAGGCCAGCACTCAATCCACTGAGCCACATCCTGTAAGGACTGGCACCACATCTTATAAGGATCTAACTAGCCAACCAACACGAACCTGATCTTCCAAGCTAGAACTTATTGGGTCCATGAGGGTCACTATCGCTGTCATTATTCCAGGCTGAAGACACACACCATGACCTCGAGTGCCACCACTTTCAGAGGATAATCAGAGAATACTTGAATTTGTCCAACCATAGATACAAAACAATTTTCCTGGCGGACTCCCATCTTCAATGGCCCGGTAAGCTGACTTGCTGTATTAAAGTGGTTTTTATTTCCAGTAAAACCAGGTCAAAACCATTACCCAGTTTTCCAATTAGAAAGATAAGCTTCACAGATAGTAAGTAATTCCCCAAAAGACATCAGTAAGGTAACAATGTTCCTTCGCAAAACTGAGCCAGTAACTGCTGCGCGGTAAATTCAGGAAGCGTATGGCCTCCCCTCGCCTATGGGACCATTTCACACAAGGCTTACCTTGGGGTCTGCCCTGTTCTTGGTGAACCCACAGAAAGAACCCAGCAACATCACCGTGCCCCTCGGGGGGACTTCAAGGGCATCTTGCAGGGAAGGGTGAATGGGCCGTTGAAAGCAATAGAAAAGAGGGGAAGGGAGAAGAGGTTAAGAAGAAACAATACCGAGAAGAGAAGGAAGAGACAGGAAGGGCGAGTGGGGTGCAGGGGGGAGGGGCAGAATGCCACCACGGTCCCCTCCCACACCACCCAACCTGCAGGTTCCTGCATCAAAGACAACTGAGGCCAAGGTCCCAAGAGCACGGGCATAGCCTGGTACCCAAGCAGCTCAGTGGAGGCAACTCTGTCCCTGCCCACTCCCAGGAGGCCACTCGGAGCTCTGCTTTCTCTCCTGCGCCTGAACCCTTCAGGCGACAGGTGACGGCGCCGCCCACTCCCAGCCGGGCAGCAGGGTTTCCCTGCCAGACGCCAAGAGAACTCTCCAACCCCCCCCGCCCGGCCCACCAACAGCGATGCCGCCGTCTGCCCAACGGGGCAGCCTCCCTGACTCTGGTCGCCTCACCTTAATGCCACCACCGTGCGCCACCTGTTCTGTAAAAGATGACAGTTGACACAGTACAAAGTGCTCCCTGGGAGATTTAAACAGTACCTTTTACAGCGTTACTAACATTTCCTGGATATACTTTTTTTCTGGTGGTATGGCACGCTTTTAACCTTTCTTATGCAGGGGAGCAAGAAGAGGCCCCCATGGAGCACACCTTCTGACAATTCCCTCAGCCCTTCTTGCACAACGAGGGAAGGTTCCAGAAGCCACTTTGGTACACACCAAGTGCTCTGAGGCTTCCACAGAGAGACAGAAAAAGTGCTGTTTCATATCTTCCACGGTATGAATTAAAATTTGAGAAGAAGCAAGAAAGCAAAAACACACACACACACACAGTAATGCCAAGCACTCTCTGTCACTATCACTGAAAATGGCTAGACAAACAAGTCCCTCCGTGGGTCAGGGGAGAAGAGGTCATGACCTCATGTCTCGGTGTGACGTCACTAGCTACAAACTGATGTCATGAATTTTCCTCTCGGTGAATAAACACAGGGAAACAAATTCCCATGCGTGAGGAGGGCCCTAACGGGCTCTCGTGACGTCCAGAAGGCAGTGGC